CTGCAGAAAAAAACGAGGCTATTAACAGAAACGTGTAGGCTATGAATAAAAGAGCTTTGAATACCAACACCCATCCCATAATTACTCTGGTAATCTTTTTACAGCTGAAGTACGAGTCAGCTGTTTGATCTGAAAGAACAGAGTGCTTAAAAGTTAATTGAGACGTTGAAACCTGATGTTTACTTCAAAAGTGTTAATAATGTCCCTTCAAAATGGGGGGTGGGGTGTGTGTGTGTGTGTGTGTGTGTGTGTGGGGGGGGGGGGGGGGGGGGGGGGGGGGGGGGGGGCTGAAAACCAACCACTGGCTCAATTCCTAGGAATTGTTTGCTGTTTTTTCAAACGATTCCCTTATCAATTCCAGTAGGCATGGATGACGTCACCGTGCATGTTGCATGGCTTCTGCATTTACTCAGCAGGAAACATGGCGTCTACACGACACAAACGCTCAAACGGTTGGTCATACTTTACAAGAAAGGATGACAACAGGGCAGCTTACAACACTTGCAAAGTAGATATTTTATCAAAGGGAGGAAATACTACGAATATAAAAATGCATTTGAGCAGAAAATACACAACTTCAAGTGGGAGTCAGTGTGTGGGTGGAGACGTATTTCATCCACACTTCCTGTTAGGAAAACGCTTCTGAAAGAGGCGTTGCATGGTGGACCGAGAGAGCGGCACCGAGGTGGTGATGGACTTCACCCCCCTCAACCCCCCCACATGCGCTGTCGGAGTTTCTCTAAAAACGAGTTGTTAACAAGCGTGCGCGCACTCACGCGTGCACGCAAGCACACACTCACTGTAGACTTACCACTCAGGAGAAGAGCAGACACAGACTCTGCAGCATTCTGGAGGATTTGAAAACGGGAGGGCGGCATTTTTTTCTAAAGGCGAGCGGCTCAGAGCGCTGATGTGTCACATCAGCAGGTGAGTGGCTGAGCCAGGTGGAGGTGCGGCTGCCTCACCTGGAAACCAGTGGGTGCAGCCACGTTGTAATTTGTTGACAACGTCACGTTTTTCAACTTAGCCATCAGCCACAGCTGGTTCTACATTAACGTGGAGCAGAGTTTTTACCTAAAGATGGAGATATCAGTATGGCTTTGGGCTGAATTATTACATTTAGAGTAAGTTGCACTAAACTGCCACACTAGTGATTACTCATGTGTACAGCACCATTAGACACTCATCTGTACAGGTTGTCAGCAAAAGCAAGTTTATTTAGGCGTTGCTCGCTCTTTGAAGTGACAATTTGTAGTTTTTACCATTAATCTCTGGAAATATCTATCAAAATGTTGTTGTACATGAATGAAAAGATACCTAGTTGTTGGCAGTTTCATAACATATAACCTTAAAAATCTCGTCTAAAATACATGGGAGCGGCTCTACGTCTCTGGGCAACGCCATATTGGATGCCGTGTTTCCTTCTACGGAAGTCCGTGAGGACAAAAAAACTTTTACTGATTTGTAACAGATGCTTGCAAAACTTTCACCAATAATAAACATTGTTGCTTTACACATTTTCCTCTTCACTCATTACCAGTGATGAAAGGGAATCTGGTGTGTTTGCCGTTTTGCTGGAGGTTGCACTCCCAGGGATTTTTGACCTTAATGGCAATCATTTGGAAAGGTCTTATTTGAACACAAAATGCTGCTTGCTAGCTTGCAGTGATTCAGGTATCTACTGCTCCCTATTGCCAGGGAAACTACACACTGTCACTTTAAAGTGAATGTGGTGTTTCTGACAACTCCAGACTAGTGAATTTCAACATAGCAGCAGCTGTGAGGTTTGCACATTCTCTCCTGTTATTACTGCATGTAACTAATATACTAACACTGCCTATCATGTTATGCAAGAGACCATGTGCAATTATATTGTTGCCACTTATTGAACTACTCAGGAACAACGCCATTGATAATGATAAAAACGTATCCATTCCCACCCCTAACCACATCCCACAGCCCGGAGGTAAACCCACCGAGGGTGGCTGGGCTTAAGAAGAAGAACAATCAATAAACATTTGAGAGCCATGTGTAAAATGTAAGTTAGCTTCACCTTTATTCTGAAAATCCAAGAGAAAATCCTCTACTCAAGAATAACATCTCAGCTTTTAAACATTGCCAGTTCTTCAAATGTCACCAGCTGGTGTTACTGGTTCCTGGTTGGGTGCAACTTGCTCAGACGTGTAGAGGTGCTAGGCTTCTAGATGTCACTGGTTTGTACATTTTAACACTCTTTCATTCCCACATTTGTTAATAAATAGCAAAGTACAGACTTAAACAATACAGGAAAAAACTACAACCACATGAGTCCTGTACTGAAACCCTTCCACTGGTGGCCATGTCCTGGTTGGGCTGATGTTAAGGTCCTGCTGTAACAACTACAGGCCAAACAAAACATTAGAATATGGAGCAAAAGTTCTGGTAATTTCACTTAAAAAGTGAAACTAATATATGCGACAGACTCATCACATACGAGTTCAAATGTTTCAGCCTTTATTTGTTATAATGGATGATTCTGGCTTACAGCTGATGAAAACCCCACATTTAAAACCTCAGACTGCAAGAATATTGTGAAAAGGTTCAATATTCTAGACTCAAAGTGTCACACTATTCAGCTGATGAATTCAGAACACCTGCAGAGGGTTCCTGAGCCTTTAGATGGTCTCTCAGTTTAAGCTGGATTACTGACACAAATGGATTTTTGCTCCAGATTCTAGTTTTTACAGTTTCACGTGTAAGGCATCACCATATATCACTGATCTTTTGGTCCCGTATGTTCCAGCTAGCCCAGGGGTTGGCAAACCGCGGCTCTGGGGCCGCCTGCGGCTCTCTGTGCTTCTAAAATAATGAATAAATATTTCATTAAAATGTATTTCATTTTACTGCATTCTTTTGTTATCTGTATGCCAAATAAAAAAATCTAGATTGTCATCCTTTAAAATGTTAACAAAAATCATAAAAACCTGAAATAAATAAAACAATTTTGTCCCTCTGCGTCATAATAAAGTGTTTACGTGTGAGTGTGTGTGTGTGTAATCATGTGCGTGTGTGTGCATGTGTGTATGTGTATGCGTGTGTGTGTGTGTGTGTGTAATCATGTGCGTGTGTGTGCATGTGTGTATGTGTATGCATGTGTGTGTGCATGTGTGTGTGTGCATGTGTGTATGTGTATGCGTGTGTATGTGTATGCGTGTGTGTATGTGTATGTGTGTGTGTGCGTATGCGTGTGTGTGTGTGTGTGTGTATGCATGTGTGTGTGTATGCTTGTGTGTGCGTATGCGTGTGTGTGTGTGTATGCATGTGTGTGTGTGTGTGTGTGTATGCTTTTGTGTGTGTATGTGTGTGTGTGTGTGCGTATGCGTGTGTGTGTGTGCATGTGCGTATGCATGTGTGTGTGTGTGTATGCATGTGTGCATGTGCATGCGTGTGTGTGTGCGTATGCGTGTGTGTGTGTGTGTGTGTGCATGAGTGTGTGTATGCTTGTGTGTGTATGCGCGTGTGTATGCCTGTGTGTGTGTGTATGCATATGCGTGTGTGTGTGTATGTGTGTGTGTGTATGCATGTGCGTGTGTATGGATGTGTGTATGTGTATGCGTGTGTGTGTGCGTATGCATGTGTGTGTGTATGTGTGTGTGTGTGTGTATATGCATGTGTGTGTGTGTGTGTGCATGTGTGTGTGTATGCATGTGTGTATGCTTGTGTGTGTGTATGCTTGTGTGTGTGTATGCGTGTATGCTTGTGTGTGTGTATGCGTGTGTGTATGCCTGTGTGTGTGTGTATGCCTGTGTGTGTGTGTATGCGTGTGTGTGCGTATGCGTGTGCGTGTGTATGCCTGTGTGTATGTGTATGTGTGTGTGTGTTTATGCATGTGTGTGTGTGTGTGTACGCGTGTGTGTGTATGCGTGTGTATGTGTATGCGTGTGTGTGTATTCGTGTGTATGCGTATGTGTGTGTGTATGCGTTTATGCGTGTGTGTGTATATATGTGTGAATGTGTGTGTGTATGCGTTTATGCATGTGCGTGTGTGTGTGTTTGCGTTTATGCATGTGTGTGTGTGTGTGTATGCGTTTATGCGTGTGTGTGTTTGCACTCAAAGCACTGGACTAAACAACCTGACCAGGGTGTCCAGAACATTATGATTAAATAATTTCACTGAACATTTTACCCATGGCCGGAACGCACTCTGCTCTTCTGCTCTGCGTAAACCTGAACGGGTCCAACGGGTGTACAGGTCACCTGCCTGGGTGACACTATATTAAACACCGTTTCCTTCTACAGGACCCCGTGAGGACAAAAATGTATTTACTGATTTGTAACAAGCGGTTACAAATCTTTCATTATTCATAAACATCATTTATCTCTTCGCTCGTTGCCAGTGACGAGAGTCTGATGTGGTTGTCATTTTGTTGGAGCTTGGATTATCTGACAAAGTAACTCAGGGTGTCCGCGGGGTTTTAAAAAGTATTAAAAAGTGATAAATAAAAATAGTCAAATTTAAGGCCATTAAAAGTGTTAAATTTGGTCTCAGAGGTATTATTTTTTCCAAATTAGGTATTATTTTTTTTCAGACTATCAGATGTCGTATTCTGAACATCGACATAGAAATATATTCCGAATGAAATGTTTTGAACGATTATAAAAACAAAACAAGCCGATTATTTGCTCCTCCCACTTGCGCTGCCTTGAGTTGCAAATGAAGCGCTCCTCCCAGTGTTGCCAAGTTAACTTGGCGACTTTGACGCTATTTCTAACAGCTTCTCAGACCCCCTTCTTGACTTTTTAAATCTAAAAGTACCTAGCGAACACCTCAGAAACATCTCTGGTTACCCTTAGCTACTTTCTGGATAACTGTCGTCGACATTTCCTGCAGGTTAGCTAAACACTCCGCCTGCGCTCCGGACCGTTCTTCAGGACATTAGGAAAGGGAATGATGCAGTGATGTGTCGGTCGCTAAAGAAACAGCTCTCAGAGCCGGCTCCCTGTTGGATTAACCAGAGTGA